GACAATCACGAGGTCCAAGCCCATCTACTCCATGTGCCGCCCAAGCTTTAATCCTTCTCGCTGCAGATCTGACGCCCCCGGGGCTAAAGTCCACGACGGGGGCTGGGGGGGGGTCCTTAAAGGTGCCTTCCAGCTACGGGAAGACGTCCTCCGAATTCTCAAGCGGCCTACGTTCAGAGCCTCTGGGGTCCCATATGCGCCCCCAATCCTGAAGCATCTGCTCTATGAGTTCCGAGGGTCCAGGCGGGGCGCGTCCTGGGCGGGGTGGCAGGGGGCGCCAACTGACAGGGGGCTCGGCGCACTGGCGCGCGCGACCTGTTCCTGCCCGCACTACCTCGCGAACGATTCCTCGCCGCTGTTGGGCGCGTGACCTGGCGAACTGCGACTCCAACTTCGTAGCCTTGCCCTCAGCGCGCTCATGCAAGTCGTCTAATGCTTCAGAATCACACCATGCCATATACCCTGCGTCGAGGTACCACATACTTTCCCACTCCTCAGTAGAACGCATCCCTGGTGTGCCGAGCAAGATCTCGGCGAACAAAGCAGCAGCTCCTACGGTGCCCTCCACTAGGTCGTTGGCTCGGATCCCAGAGCAGAGAGTTCCCGGGCCCGGTTACCCCGCCCCCCCCACCCCCCCCAGGCCCGACTGACAGGGCGCGCCGCGGGGCAGGGCCCGGCGGGCGGGGAGGGCGGAAGGTGATTTTGAGACTCCAGCCCCGTCCTCGCCCAGTATATCTGTGCTGAACAGTTTCAAGTAGAGCGTGTGCCGCCAGAAGCTCTCTCTCTCTCTCTCTCTCTCTCTCTCTCTCTCTCTCTCTCTCTCTTTTTTTTTTTCTCTCTCTCTCTCTCTCCTTCCGCTCTCTCTCTTCGCTCTCTCTCTCTCTCTCTCTTCTCTGTTTTTTTTTTCTCTCTCTCTCTCTCTCTCTCTCTCTCTCTCTCTCTTTCATTATTTCTCTCTTTTGTTTTGTTAATAGTTCTCTTTCTCTCTCGTTCTCTTTCTCATTATATTTCTGTTTCTCTTTATGTTTCTCTTTCTATTTCTCTTTCTCTGTCTCTGTCTCTTTTTTTTTCTCTCTCTCTCTCTCTCTCTTCTCTGTATTTTGTTTCTCTCTCTCTCTCTCTCTTTCATTATTTCTCTCTTTTGTTTTGTTAATATGTCTCTTTCTCTCTCTTTCTCTTTCTTTTTCTCTTTCTGTTTCTCTTTTTGTTTCTCTTTCTATTTCTATTTCTCTGTCTCTGTCTCTGTCTCTTTTTCTCTCTCTCTCTCTCTCTCTCTCTCTCTCTCTCTCTCTTTTCTTCTCTCCTCTCTCTCTCTCTCCCTCTCTCTTTTTTCTCTCTCTCTCTCTCTCTCTCTCTCTCTCTCTCTCCTCTTCCTCTTCTCTCTTCTATCTCTCGATCTCTCTCTCTCTCTCTCTCTCTCTCTCTCTCTCTCTCTCTCTCTCCATCTCTCTCTCTCTCTCCTCTCTCTCTCTCTCTCTCTCTCTCTCTCTCTCTCTCTTCCCTTCTCCACCGGCCCCGCGCGCCAGCTAGATACTGCGTTCATGCGCTGCTGATTCCCCCCCTTCCTCAGGCTGGCGAATACCCCCCCCCCCCGCCCCCCCGGCGGCGCAAGGCGAGGCCCCGCGGGGCGCCCTCGAGGAGACTTCCTCGGCGCCCGCGACGCTGCGATGCACCGCGGAACAAGCTTACCTCGAAGACGCAACAGCACTGGCCAATGAGGCTTGATCGGAACGCTCACCGCGACGGCGCTGAACACAATCGACGGCGCCAACACGCCAGGGACAAACCAATAATCAAGGGCACGCCGTTCCCGCTTACCTGCCGTGCAAGTAGGGAACGATGGAGCGACAATTCTGCCTCTGAGCTTACTGGCCCATCCACGACGCCCCAGAAGAGACGGCGGCGCGTTCGGATCTCCCCTCATCAAAAACGGCAGCGAGGCCGCGTGCAGAAACTCCCGAAGACGGCCTAATAACAGCGTTCCCTCTGCTCCAAAGGGACCCGGCGCTGGCGCGCACAAATGCGCTGCATGCGCGCAGCCTGGGACAACCGCATTCACCCATTTGACAAGGGACAACCGCATTCACCCATTTGACAAGGGCCCAATCAGGAAAGGGGAGAGGCTGAGGTCGCCCAGGCGCGTTCCCCACCCCAATGCACGCAGGAACTCCTATGGCCACTCCCCCTGACAAACCCCCCAGCCTCCGAATTTCGAAATGGACTTACCGCTGCCAAGATTCCCTGATCGCGCAACATCGCCTCGCAGTCGTGCCTCCGACCCTGCGAGACGCCTACTTCTTGCAAGACGCATGCCTGAGGCCCTCTCGGCGAAAAACTTGCCCTGCCATGACTGACTGCCCTGCGAAAAAAAAACTGCCTCTTTCCTGCGAGCCATCGCCTGCTCCTCGACGCGCGAAAGAGAGGGTTTTCAGCTCGCGGTGTTGACCGCGCGCAGGTACAGGTCTCCAAGATTAAAAGCCCGACTGTTTGCCTGCGGCTGGCCCAGCATCGACCGCGCCCTTGCCGTTGCCGCCCATGCCCTTGCCGACGCAGGCCCCGGCCTTCTGGAACAGCTCGTTGACAGAGGGCACCGCGCCCTGCCCACCTGCCATGGCCTCGGGCACGCTGGCAGCACTGGTGGGCTTGCGACCCACTGTGGGCACCTGAGCCGCAGTGGCCGCTCCCTCAACATTGTCATGATCACCTTCATCCTTGCGCCTGCGCTTGGCCTGCATCCTCTGGTTGAAACTACGCTGCTCCTCAACCATCTTGGCGCACTGGGCCTGCGTGGCCCAAAACGCCTGCTTCGTAGCCTCCTGCGCGAGAGCCGCCAACGCCTGCTTCCGTTGGTCGAGCTCCTCCTTCCCGACGTCACTGACCTCAATGCCCTCCGGATCCAATCCAAATTCGCCGGCCCAACGGGCCAGAGGCGTGCTAAGATCTCCGGTAACTGGTTAACAATTCTCTAGTTCGCGCGCGCGGGGCGGCCCCTGGGGGTCCCCGGACGAAAAATACCCCGGGCGATCCCCGACCGACCCCCGGGAGACTCCCCCAGAGCGCTCCAGGAGCGCTCCATGAGCGCACCAACAGGGCTCCGAGACGTCCCCGAGAGCCCCAAGAAAGGCCAAGAGGCCCCCAAGAGGCCCCCAAGATGGTACACGAGGGGTCCGACATGCCACAAGATCGCTCCAAGACGCCCAAGATAGCCCCAGACGCCCCAAGAGGCCTCCAAGAGCAC